AACTGCTGACCTTGGGATTCGCAGCCCGATTCGTAACCACTACGCTACCAGAGCTCCTTTGAGTTTATATGTAGAGGGAACAAAAAGGGAATAGTTACACGTGCTATGTTGAACAAAATAAAGTCTCAATAGTAATTTTAGACTGAGAGTCAAAAGTATTCGTCTATAAAATCCTAATGCTTACTGTTTTAGCAAGCGCTTTGATGGCTTTCTTTATCTCTTTCCTCTTCGTGGAGAACTGTTTAACCTCTTTTTTGATGGCCTGAAATGAAGTAAATAGATCACTTAACAAAGATTCCATAGATCGATACCCCTTTCTAGAAACCAGTAAGCATCTTTAGAAGTGACGATCTCAAGTGTACATAAATAAAGACAAATGCACTGTAATGCCTTGCTTCGTCTGACTGTTACTACATATGTTTAAGTGACCACTGAAACAACTTGGATCTTGTGTCCATTATGAGACCAATGGAAGGAAAATAATTAGTAGTGAAAAATTAGTGAATACTTGACAAAGAAAAACCAAGATGCCATATTCCTGGGAATTTATGTGAGATGAGTTAATTGAGCTAAATCCATACACGTACTCCAGCTATTTCACCTCTCCAGGCATCCCAAGCTACACTCCCCTTTTGTTCCTGCCTTTTGTTCATATTAGCCTCCCAACGTCCCGAACAAATCACTCCAGGTGGGCTATCATAGTTCATTCTTCGCGTTGGCTTACCTGGATACTGTCAGGTTTCACATTAGCTATGTAACAATTCTTAATGTTCACCTGCCTTATGATAAAACATTTGGTTGCGTTATGGGCTTTTAATTGCTTTTACAAGTTCCACTTGTAGAATGCAATGCTCTGCCAAGTGGCATCTTGTTCTTCCATGCAACTTTCCACTAGATTTTCATAGGAAATGAATCTATCTGGCACACATCTCAAACATACTCAAGCTTTATTTACCTCTTGACTCTTTGCTTGTATCCAGGAAATTTTCTTCATGTCTTGGGCAGAGTCTAATTCCTCTTGTGAGGAGTCAATGCTTGGCAGCTGTGTCTGAGATGCCTTAGAAGAAAAGACAATTGTTAAATTTAATCTAGAATTCATAAGTTCTTCTTGTTCAATGTAACTATCTTTAATTCCTTTGCATTTGTTACGTTTTAAAAAAACAAACATTTTGCCAGCCCAAAATGCAATATTTAATGTGCCTTGTTAAGTTTATTCCTACCAGTCTGTCCACAGTGTCTTTCCTAGTCATCACAATTGCTTTTTTTGGTTTAAAGCTTTTTATTGTGAATTGAGTGATAGTTTTACATGGGAGAGCATCAGTTTTGCACTCATCCTATCATATTTTGTTTCAGTGCAATGATTACAATTCCCTCAATACATAATCATTTAACAGTATTTGCTTCTATTCCCTCTGCTTTTCTTTCTTTTTTCTTTTATGTACATAAAAACACTCAGAAATATATAATCATTTAAACAACCAAAGGGCGCGTTCTGCAAGCCTGCCTCCTGGCCGCCAGCACACAGCCTTTCTCTTTCCATGAGTCTAGAGTCCTCAGGTGCTCTAACTCTCCATGCATTCAACCTCTGCCTCCATCTCTGGTGTCACTGTGTCTCCGGTTAGGGTACAATTGCTTTTAAACTATAGATGTCACGTGCAATGAGAAACTTAATGGTTTACCACCACCCATCTCCCCACTGGCTTTCTGATCTTGAGCATGTAGACGCTGAGGTTGAATCTTGATGGATGGGAAAGGCATAGCCTTTATTTCTAAACTTAAAATTTCCATGTTTTTTATAAAGTGTAAAGCCATCAGTGGTACAAAGAGCTTTACATAGCTTTTGATCATAAAACCAAAAATATAGTTATGACATTTAGGAAAAGACAATAATGACTTAGGTCTACTCCATTGAAGCCATCCACTCCCCTGGGTCACATCCTTGGCCCTGTACAACCATGACCAAAATCTCAACTGCAACCACTCTGCTGTGTATATAGCCTCCTGTATAACACCTCCTTCGGCATCCAAGTATTCTAGTTCATGGAGGCGACAATCCTTTGATCGACCATTTTCCTCCCTAAACACACACACAGTTTCACCCACCACAGTCCTCCCTGTCTAGTTAATTCAGGATCTATAATGATCACTCTTTACCTCTCCGCTCATTTCTGTCTTTCCAGCATACATAGCTGGTTGTTGTTGTTAAGTAACATAGAGTCGGTTCTGACTCATAGGAACCCTGTGTAGGTTCCCCAAGGAGCAGCTGGTGGGTTGGAACCACTGACATTGTTCAAACCAATCTTGTAGTCTAGTGCTTGTTCTACAGCACTATACTAGGGCTCCACACATCTGGTAAAGTCCCAAATTTTGTTAAAATCAACAATTCGGTTTTTCTATTCCTGTACTGGAGTCTGGTGTGGTGCTGTGGGTTAATGCGCTGAACTGTACAGTTGATTTAATCCTCAAGGTCTACAGTTCAAGTTCACCAGCTGCTCCTGCTATACAGGGTTGCTATGGGTCAGAACCAACTTGACAGCACTTAACAACAACAATAACAATGTCTGTACTGGGCTCATAAATGTAAGAGACAAACTCACCAACCAGCTGGTCTGAACTAGGTAACCACATAATTTGTTGTTCAAACTGGGACATTTCTGAGAGTGAAAATGAGTGTTAATCAGAAAAGACACCAGGAGTGTCCTCTGAAAATTGAGGCACACAGTTGTTGGACGAACCTTAAATGATGCTTCACAATGCCTAGAGAGCTCATCTTCCTCAAGCGCATTCACTTTACAGTCTCCCAAACACCATCTTTTAGACTTTCCTCATACCTCCTACACATTCCTCCCCTGCTCTCAGCTCCATTTGAGCTAATAACCTTGTCATACTGTTCATTGAGAGTGCAGAAATAACCTCAGTCACACTGCCACCAAGTCACTTTATGTCTCTTTTCTTGGTACTGGGAACCAAGTGTCCCTGCCCATCCACTATCTCCCCCCTCTCCCCCGGCCCCCCACCATTACTGCTTAGGATCTGATGTTTTCATTCTTCTCATAGTTTTCTTATATCCCATCTCCCTCTGCCTCGTCCATTTTTCTCATCTACCACGCTCTCTTTCTGACCTTTGGCCTTTGGCACTAAGAACTCATATCTCCTTCACCTGTGGGCCTGTGGAGCCTGTTTTAGTTTCCTATCTTGACTTAAATGCCCTCCATTTCCCTTGTCTACCTGATCCAATCATGTTCTGGTACCTCCCATCTAAGAGAACGCCTCTCTCTTAAACTCTGAACTCCCTGTTAACTACCACACCGTTTCTAGGCTTCCCTGGGCAGCCAAACATCTGGAAAGAGGCTGGGATGGCACACTCTTGGTTCTGCTCTGACCTCACTGGATGCTACTTCCCCAAACTTTTCTGGGGATCTCTAGAAGTTGTTATGTCCTGGTCCTCTTCTGCTTTTTTGCCATTCACTTTTCCATGGGGACTTTGCCTAATTTTATGGCTTTATAAATGCAATTTATATGCCTATGAATCTCAAATCAACAACTCTAATCCTGATATCTGTCTTTCCAGAACTCAAGACTCTATCTTATCTTGCTTCCCCACAGGAAACATTCTCCACATAGTAGCAAAGGAACATTTTAAAAAATGCAAATCAGATCTTGTTCATCCTCTGCTTGTTGTGTTGTTGTTATGTGCCTTGGAGTCGGTTCCAACTCATAGCAACCCTGTACAGGGTTTCCAAGGCTGTAAATCTTTACAGGAGCAGAAAGCCTCATCTTTCTCCCACAGAATAGCTGGTAGTTTCGAACTGCTGACCTTGCGGTTCACAGCCTGATTCATAACAGCTACGCTTAGAACACTTCAATAAGTTATCACAACATGTAGAATCAAATTCAAACTCTCTATCTGGTTTACAAAGCCCTGCATTGCTACCCTAAGCCCTCACCTCCTCCCACACTCTCCCTGGCTCGCCTCAACGGTACAGGCCTTTGGTAGATCCTCAAACACACCAAGGTCTTTCTGACCTCTCCCCTTTGGCCCTAAGTACTCTTACCTCCCTCACTCCCACCTCTGCTTCCATTTCATGTTTTGGCTTGGTGAGTTTATCTAGCTAGCCAAACTCTATCACACCAATCTGTTTTTATTTGGTGAATCGAATTTGTCAGTATCTAATATTTTCTTATTTACTGGTTTATTTGGCAGCCTCTCCATGCCCATTCCCATCCCCCAATTAGAATGTAAGTTCCATGAGAGTTGAAACCTTTTTCTATCTGATTTATAGCTTTCCCCCACAGTCCAGCACACTGTATACTTTCAGTGGATATTTGCTGAATGAATGATTGAATGTTGGCTTCTGATTGGGATGTCCCTAAATAATAAGAATCAAACCAGATGTCGTCAAGTTGACTCTAGCTCATGGTGGCTCCGTGTGTGTCAGAGTAGGACTGTGCTCCACGGGGCTTTGAATGGCTACTTTCTCACTGAAGCAGATCTCCAGGCCTTTGTTCTGAGGTGTCTCTGGGAGGACTCAAACCCCCCAATCTTCAGAGTTGCAGTAAGTGTCTTAACTGTGTGCACCATCCTTGGATTCCTCTTAAATAATAATAATAAAAGAGTGTTGTTGAGTCAGCTTCAACTCACAGGGACCCTGCATAGAGTTTCCAAGGAGCAGCTGGTGAGTTTGAACTGCCGACCTTGAGGTTCAAACTGACCTTGTAGTCCAGTGCTTTATCCCACAGCGCTACACCAGGACTCCCATAAATAACATATGTGATATAATTACAGAAAGACCTGGTGCTGTAGGATCAGCACTGGACTGCTAACCACAAGGTCGGTGGTTCAAACCCAACAGTTGCTCCTTGGAAACCCTATACAGGGTTGATATGAGTTAGAAACAGTTGGACAGTACTTAACAATAACAACAATTTGGCAAAGAACCCATATTGGTAGTATTTTTTCACCCCTCAGACAAACCCAGATCTTTGTATTGGGGTTTGAATGACAGTAGAGCTGTACTGTTTGAGATTGCCTGGAGAAAAATCTGAGTAATTCATCTCAGATGTAGCTCATACTCTTTTTGAAAGTCATGGATGAAGAGTATTACTAAATATCTGCTTAAATAAAACCACAAGTTGCAAATTGATCTTGAATTTAAAAAGAGACAGAAAGATACATCGGAACTTAACTGTTAGGTCATATTCTGATTCCGAAGCTACAGGCTGGTTTTTTATTGTTCTTAAACAATGATTCTCCTGGTCCATGATGTTGTCCAGAAAATTTACAAATTTCAGAAAATAGTCAAAACAGTCAGTGGCTAAGATTCCTTTAAAGCTCCTATATTAACAAAAAGCAAACACACATTTCAAAGGTCACATTTAGAAGTATTAATTATAGGTATCTACCCATTCTTTTTGCATAAAGGAAGAAAACTGTGGAAATTTTCTGCAGTTTCCTGTAATTATTAAGACTCTACTTCTGTGAGTAATCCCTTTCACGGACTACAGGACACAGTCTCTTGGCCTTTCTGGGTGACCTCTCTCATGCTTTCCCCAGACGCTTACCCAACACACATGTTCTCTGTACACACCTTGGATATTGCACAAGAAAGTCATTGAAATAATTGAGACCTAAGAACAGTTGGCTCCATACGAGAAGCACTGGACTGCGAACTACAAGGTTCACAGTTCGAGTCTGATGGTCTGTCCATGGGAGAAAGATGAGACTTTCTGCTCCTGTGAAGATTTAAAAAGCCTCGGAAACCCTATACAGTATCACTATGAGTTGGAACCAACTTGATGGCATTTAACAACGTGCTAGGTGCTGGGCACGTATATGAGGGAGTTTCACAGAGTTGGTGGGACAATGGAAAGGAAAGATGATGGAATCTTTCCACAGACTTTTTGAAGTCCCCTGTATATGATCACTTACATGATCTCATTTAGTCCTTATAGACACCCGCCCACGGGCCTGGGGGCATAATTGCTTTCACTCAGGTGTGGTGCTGTGAGTTAATGCACTGCACTGCAAAGTCAGCAGTTCAAACTCACCAGCCACTCCTCAGAAACCCTATACAGGGTAGCTATGAGTCAGAACCGACTCAACAGTACTTAACAACAACAATACACTGGGTTTTCAAAACTTGAGTGTGCATCACCTGGTTGCCATTGAGTTGATTCCAACCTCGTGTGTGCTGAGTTCTACAGGAAGTAGAGTTTTACTTTGTTCTGTGAGGTGTTCGGAAGCAGATTGCCAGACCTGTCTTCCAAGGTACCTCTGGGTGGGTTTGAACCGCTAACTTTACTGTTAGTAGTTCAGTATTACCTTTACCATTTGCACTCCTTGGGGTCTCTTTGGGTTACCTGGAGGGTTTGTTAACATACAAATCCTGGGCCCTTACCTAAAGAGGTTCTGATTCAGTAAGTGGGGGGTGGGGAGGGCAAAAATATGCATTTCTAACATACCACATCTTGAATAATATTGGTACAGATGGTTTAGAGATTCTAAGGTCATATGAGAATAAAGTTTGACCTGAGGTTTCAAACTCAGCTTTGCTTTGAGTTCAAAGCATGTAGTTAACTGCAGTGGCCGCGCTGTCCTTCCTTTGATAGCTAGGGCTCCAGCTCTGGTTCAGTTCTGCCTGGGATGCTGCTTGCTCACTAATTATGATAAGACTTAGAGAGTGAGATATGAAGCCCTGGTGACGCAGTGGTTAAGCGGCTGGATGCCAACCACGAGGCTGGCCATTTGCACTCATCAGCTGCTCCATGGGAAAAAGATAAAGCAGTCTGCACCCGTAAAAATGACAAACTGGGAAACTGTACTGGGACACTTCTACTCTGTCCTCTGAGGTGGCTGTGAGTTGGAACCAACTTGAGGGCAATGGGTTAGAGAGTGAGACACAAGTTAACATTTTATTCAGGGATGCTAGGATAAAATGGCCAAGGATGATGACGTCCTATAACAAGTCTCTGAAATAAAGTACTGCTCAAAATATTGTGATACAAATATCTCAACAACTCTGAACGTGCTCACATTACTGAGTCAGGTCATGCTTCATCACTGTTTGGATCACAGGAGGCACCAGGAAACACTATTTTTGTTGGACTGAATTATACAATGACCATGGAGATAATATCTGATTGCTCATCTGCAGATCAGACAAGGCAATTTTTGTAGAGTTGTTGTCTGCTTCTTGCTACGGGCACACTTCCTGCTTTCCACAGCACATCACCATCTCTAGGCCTGGATAGTATGCACTTATTTTAATTTTGCTAACCTAAGCAAAATCTAAAGGAGCTCTGGTAGTGTAATGGTTGTGAATCAGGTTGCGAACTGCAAGGTCAGCAATTCAAAACTACCAGCTGTTCCAAGGGAGAAAGATGAGGCTTTCTGCTCCCGTAAAGATTTATAACCTCGGAAACCCTGTATAGGGTTGCTATGAATCGGAACTGACTCCATGGCACATAATCACCACCAAGGAAAATCTAAATAAATTAATAGTAGCATATGTAAAATGTAAGAAAAAAAGAGTAAGATGTGTATCTACATACACATACATACATCAGAGTTTTTAGAGGTGAGTAAGGACTCCTGGTGTGGCACTGTGGGTTAACGTGCCAGACAGCAAAGTCCTTTCAACTGCAAGGTCGGCAGTTCAAACTCACCAGCAGCTCCTGGGAAACCCTATACAGGGTCTCTATGGGTCGGAACTGACTCGCCGGCACTTCACAACAACAACAAACTATTCAGAATTATGCTCATCCCTGGTGCTCCTCAACAGTTTGACAAAATAGAGGACTGATCAGCCTGTGCTCTGTGAAGTCACTTACTGTGTACAATACGTACTTCCATTTTAGACAAACAAGGGTGCCATCGTTTTTCCCATTCACCAGAATGTCTTGTCCATCCAGTGAAATCTTCAGCGACTGAATCCCTTGTGTCTGGTAAGAATGGCTCTGACACCAAACAAGCGTTTCCTAAGTTTTAGAAACAAAATTGTAAATGTAAGCCTATCACATGACTTGTCTAAGGGGATTACAGATACTTTTGTTTATTAACAAGCCCTTTTCTATTTGGTATGAAAGTATCTTCTAGTTAATTGTTGTCAGGTACTGTGAAGTGGTTCTGACTTGCAGCGACCCTGTGCACCAAAGAACGAAATACTGTTCCATTCCTGCAACATCCTTACAATTCTTGCTACACTTGAACCCATTGCTGCTGCCACTCTGACAATCCATCTCTTTGGGGGAGGGGGAGCCTTCCTCTTTTTCACCGACACTCCACTTTACCAAGCATGACGTCCTTCTCTAGGGACTGGTCTTTCCTGATAACATAGCTGAAGTATGAGAGACAGAGTTTCGATATCTTGGCTTCTAAGGAGAATTCTGACAATGCATCTCCCAACAAGATCTGTTTGATGTTCTGGCAGTCCCCGGTACTTTCAATGTTCTTCTCCAACACCCTAACTCAAATCCATCCATTATTCTACAGTCTTCCTTATTAACTGCTCACCTTTCATATTCATATTGAAAATACCATGTCACACTTTAGTCCTCAAGCTGGTATCTTAGCTCTCTTTAAAGAAGTCTTGTGCAGCAGATTTATCTAATGCAATACATTGTTTGATTTCTTTATTTTTTAAAAATGTTTTATTGTGAATTATGTGATAGTTTACATGGGAGAACATTAACTTTACATGCATCCTATTATATATATATCGTTTCATTGCCATGGTTACAATCTCCTCCATGCATCATCAACCAACCAAAGAGTACACTCTGCAAGCCTGCCCCCCTATTCGTCAGCACCCAGCCCCTCTCCCTCTCTGGGTCTAGAGTTCCCAGCCACTCCATCTCTCCACATCATCGTCTCTGCCTCTATCTCTGGCATCACTCTTTCTCTGGATAGGGTCCCACCCTCTGCTCTTTTCCCTTGATGGTCCCAGGGACCTCCACTCCTGGACTGCAAAGTCAATCAATCACTCCCCTCCTTTTGCTACAAAACGTCTACCTTTACATTTCCAACCCTCACATTCAGTCCTGATAACAATTATTCACTATTGTACCACAAGAGTCTTATCCCCATCTCCTTTCTTAGCCCTACCCAGACAGATTGGACAATACACAGTGGAGATTCTACCTTCCTCGCCCTCTGGATCTAGGCTCCCTCTTGAAAGCTTATAAGCCAGTCACTTCTTGCCTTTGTAGCCTGCACCCCTCCCCTCATTTTGGGTAGCCAATGTCCAAGTTGTCCATCCCTGTCTACCCTGTGTATCGAGGGGGATGTGAATGATCCTTGTTGTAAAGATTTGTTCCCTCTTTTGAGCTACTGCATGCATAGGTGTATGTCAAGTTCATCAAATTGTATCAGATTACTCTTTTTTTCCTCTTCTTTCTTCTTCTGGTTGAGCTCTGATCATCCAGTCATTGAAGTCAGGTCAGGTGGGTATTATCTGCAAGTGTGGGTGTTCTTGTGCATATGCCCTCTCTTCTTATCAGCTGGACGCTTCACTCTCCTCTCTAGTCCTCTGTGGCTATGTCACTGACTCTGGGCCCAGGAGTCCCCAGGTCTTGCCATACTGCTGACCAACCAGGTCTCCACTGGGTTCACAGGAGTCTATTGAACCTGGAAGGACTTAGCTTGCAGCTTCATTGCTGTTTTTCATTTGATTTCTTGACAGCTGCTTCCATGAGTGTTGATTGTGGATTCAAGTAAAATGAATTTTTTGGCAACTTCAATCTATTCTCCATTTTCCATGATGTTACTTATTGGTACAATTGTGAGGATTCATAGCACTTAAAATCACTGGTTCACAAATCACTCCCTAGCCCATGAGCACTGACGTAGCCATGGGGTGGGGGTGGGGGGTAGAGCTGAAAGTGAATCAGCCAGCTGGTCTGAAGTGCAGGGAAGAGGGTATGAACTCCCTAACTTGCAGCTAGTACCCATTTGACCTAGCTGGGATGGCTAGCTGACCAGAACTCAACCAGATGACGATAAAGATGCTTGATACTGTGAGCAAGTGTAAATTGCTACAATTTGATGAACTGGACCTTTGCTTATGGATGCAGTTGTTCAAAATCCCAATCAGAATGGAAGGATTCTTCATATTAAGGAACAAGCTTGTTTCCTCAGTGCAATGGTGATAGGGATGGGCAATCTAGACATTGGCCGTGAAAAATGGGGGCTATAAAGGCATAAAATGACTAGTTCACAAACTTTCATGACTATGCTTACATTCAGAACGAGGTGGGTAAGGTAGAATCCCCACTGAATAGTTTTCCTCTTCTCCAGATGGATCTGGTGAAAGGGGGTGGGGGATGGTGCCGAAAGGATTTTATGATTCAATTGTGAGTAATTGTTAGCAGGAATAATTGTGATGGTCACAAGTGTAATTGTAAAAGATGTGTAACTATAAGTGGGGAGTAGTTTATCTTTCATTTCAGGAGCAGATGATCACAGGTCCATCAAGAAGGAAGAGCATGAGTGGAATGTGAGATCCGACTTAGACAAGTGGCAACAGCAGAGACAGTGGCAGGAGCAATGCCACGGAGAGATACATGTTTGCACAGAGATTCACTGTTTACAAAGAAGTCTCTCATAAATGCTTCCTTGGTCTCTCACCAGACTCTTACAAGAGGGAGGAGAGTGATCATGCGTGGCTCTCCCAGGCTTATAGATGAGCAACCGAAGCTGAGTGTATTGCCAGGACACACATAGCTAAGTGATGTTAGCGCTGGACTCAATCTTATCCCTGGTACCCTAACCCAAGACACTCCATTGACACACGCTTTCCCTCCCTTAGAGCTGCAGACCACTATACAGGAAAACAAAATCAGCTGTACCACCTGCAGCAAATCAGTTATGAATTTACTTTTACAGAAAGTTCCAGAGTTCCAATTCTTGTTCTAGGTATTTTTTGTTCCTTATACCAGATTATTATGTACTTCCATCAATTTTAAAAAATAAAGTTTACCAGAGTATGCGCATCTCGGATATACAGAATTCCATCTTTAGCTGTTGTTAAGAGCCACAATCCATGAGAAGACAGATATATCTTTCCATGGCCATAATGTCTGCTTTGTAATTTTTGGAATGGTTTAAGAACGCAAATACCAGTATGTTCCTGCCAACCAAACAAAATGAGCACATTATAGTAAAGATCAGGGGGTGGCACCTAAGGGTTTTTAGTTGTGCATATATAACGTATTGTTGTTAAGTGACGTTGAGTCAGTTCCGACCCATAGTAACCCTGTTTAGCATTTCCAAGGAGCAGCTGGTGAGCTTGAACCACCAAACTTGCAGTTCAAATGGCTTTGCAGTCTGGCTCATTGACCCACAGCGCCATACCAGGACTCCTATATATATATATGATATGTTGCAGTTGTTGTTAAGTACTGTGGAGTCAGTTCTGACCTCATAGCGACCCTGCACAGGGTTTCCAAGGCTGCAAATCTTTATGGGAGCAGAAAGCCTCATCTTTCTTCCACGGAACAGCTGGTAGTTTCGAACTGCCAACCTTGAGGTTAGTAGCCCGATTCATAACCACTATACTACCTATAGTCAGAGGCAAATTCACTAACTTGTTATTGATAATAAACAGAAAAATGATAAAGTGGCTACCTTTGCTTGCACCAGGCTTTCATCTTTGTTTGAAAATTAAAGTTTGGTTTTCCCAACTAAGAAAAATCTTTGCAGTTAGCCTGCTTTATAGATCCCAGCCTACACTGGCAATTTAACAATTTTTTCTAATCATTTTTGTAAAGCCCATGCTTACATCAAAGTAACCTAGTCAATTTCCTCCCTGTGTGTTACATGTATCCCCACCCCCAATCTTTTGCACATACTCTTTATTTTGTCGGGAATGCCCCTTTCCACCCTTCCCCACTTTACCGCACCCTCCCCAAACTGTTCATAATAATTCTCCATGTCTAACCCACTCCACAGCACCTAACAACAACAAACAAAAAAAGCTTTGGCATTTAACAATAACAACTACAAAAACTAATTTAGTCTTCAAAGTCCAGTTCAAATATCACTTCCTCCATAAAACTTTTCTTGATTCTCTCTTGCTATAAACCCTTTCTCTTTTCTGTGAACGTGTATATCTAATACCTCGCTCGCTTACACCCGGTGCTTTGGGAGAGAACGTCTTTGACTGAAGGGTGGAGAAAGAAAGGGTGGTAGATAATCTAGGGGCAAATAGACAGACACCCCTGGGGGACTCTGAATGGCTGCAGGGGTGACGCATGTGGGAGAAGTTTGAAGAAAGTTATGAAAGGAGGCTCAGAAAGTAGATGAATTAATTTGTGCAGTTTTGCTTAGAGCCTAGGTCTAAAGTTCCACGGAAAATAATTTACCATGTCATACCTGGTACCTATAGAACACGTTTTCTAATGCTAGATTGTTTTTTAAAGGGCATTAAATATATGTCTGTTTATCTGAAAAGGATGGTATGTTTGACACAATGTGAAACAGCTCAAATATATTTTATGGTGGATTAACAAACAATGCTAATACATGTATAAGGCAAGGACATTTTTATCCATGTGTATAATAAATCCATTTGGTAACTAGACTTATATGTGAAAGCAGACAAGAGGAGCATGTGTAATTACTATTGTTGTTTTAAGTGCCATCTTATTAATGCATGGTATTGATAGGATCCCTGGGCTAGTGCCGTGGGTTAATGCGCTGGACTGCAAAGACACTTTGAACCGCGAGGTCGGTGGTTCGGAAACCTTATACAGGGTTGCTATGGGTTGGAACCAACTCGATGACACTTAACAACAACAACATTAATAGCATACTTAAGTTCTGGCATACTTTCTCAGGAAGAAGATAGCTACAGATGTATGGCACATGGCTACAGAAGCCCAAAATGCGGTTGCTTTGAAAGTCCAAGACTGCAGAGGAGAGGACGTGCTCAATCTCATACAGGAACTTGTGGATGATTTGATCTTTCAGCCTCCCTCTTTCATCAGCAAACGTTGCAGCAACTATGAGAGTTGGGGAAGAGGAGAAATCACTTACACCGCATATTGCTTTTATTGTATTAATCATTATGAACAATTATGAAAAGCCAAATAAGATTTTAAGGTGTTCATTTTGACTACAGGACAGAGTAGAATTGTTTTCTAGGGTTTCCAAGGCTGTAAAAGCTTTACAGTGTGTTGTTTGTTGGTAAGTGCCGTTGAGTCGATTCCAACCCATAGCAACCCTGTATAGGGTTTCCAAGGAGCTGGGGGTGAGCTTGAACCACCAACCTTGCAGTTCAAACGACTTTGCAGTCTGATGCATTAGCCCACAGCGCCACACCAGGACTCCCAAAATCTTTATGGAATCAGGATTTACACCTTTTTCCTGTGGAGTGGCTGGTGGGTCTGAACTGCTGACCTTTTGATTAGAAACTGAGCGCTTAACCACTTGTGGCACCAAGGGCTCCATTTTGCAGAGGAGTCCAGGTGTGGTGCTGTGGGTTAATGCACTGGACTGTAAGTTTGGTTTGAACCACGAGGTCGGTGGTTCAAGCTCACCAGCCGCTCCTTGGAAACCCTCTATAGGGTCACTATGAGTCGGAACTGACTCAACGGCACTTAACAACAACAACAACAACTACTGTTGTTACGTACCATGGAGTCCTTTCTGACAGAGCGTAAACCTGTATAGGGTTTCTGAAATTGTAAATCTTTAGAGGAACAGAAAGCTTCACTTTTCTCCTAAAGAGCAGTTTATGAATTTGAACTACTGACTTTGTGGTTAGTAATCCAGTGCTTATTCTACAGCACCACCAGGGATCCTTAAATGACTGACAGTAGGTAGAATACCTTTTGTGAGACCTTGTTTAAGTTCATTAGTTAAGTAAATAGATCCCACATAACATCTCAGCTGCGCTGGAGTACATTCTGACTCACGGCAGGCCTACGTTCTCCTACGGCTTCTCTGAAACTATATCGGCTGGCTTTTCTTTCACGCTCCCTCTGGATGGATTCAACTACCAACATTTCAGTTAGCAGCTGAGTACATGAACCATTTACATGACCCAGGAACTGCTATGATGAAGAGATTCTTCATGAAAACACAACATGGCTTTCCGATTTCTAGCTCTCTTATACTCTATAACAATATATATGCAAAATAGCCATAAAAGCTGTATTTGTCATCTAAAACACAGAGTACTTAGTTTCTCATAACTACTTTACCCCAAAAGCTTTCTTTATAATTTTATCATGAAGGTAACTGCATCATAATCTATCTGAATTAAACTATGTTGTTAGGTGCCATCAAGTCATTTCCTACTCATAATGACCCCATATAGGGTTTCTGAGATCTTAAGTCTTCACTGGAGCAGAAAGCCTCATCTTTATCCTGTGAAGTGGCTGGCGGGCTTGAACTGTGAACCTCATGGTCTGCAGTCCAGTGCTTATTATATGGAGCCACCACACTCCCGAATGACACTACACTCGTATTTAAAACTACAAGAGACTCCACACAATGACAACGCTCTCAGACACAAGCATCAGTGGGCCCTGTTCCTTTGCTTTGGTAATAAAATAGATTCATTTCCGGGTCACAGGGCATAGAGGAGAGCCCACGTCTCAAATCGCTTAGCCGTCACCTCAGTTTCACTTTGTAAAGGTTCAGAAAAGGAAGCTGTTTGACCTGATCATGTGGTCATGCTGTCACCAGAAATACATGCAAAGCGACAGTCCCATCTTATCCCCGGCACAGAACAAGGTTGCTTGCTTGCTCTATCCTTACCTTGAGGCAGTATTGAAGGCAGAGTAAACATTTCCAGTCGGCTTTTTCCTACTTCTAGAAGCGGGATAAGCACCATCACTTCCACTATGTCAGTTTCCAAAAGAGACACTGTGGAAATCTGTGAAATGCCTTTTTCTACCTCTGAAAAGAAATGGGAATCAACACCACAAGAAGTCGCTGGTAAGTTTGAGAATCGTTTCTCTTGGCCCATCCCCATGGGTCTCTCTTAGTGTCCTATGACAGAGCAAACTAACCTTGAACCACTGCCTGGTCTCCTTCCCTGTAGGCTGCAGGCAGTGAAGCACGTTGCACAGTGTGTGTGTGTGTGTGTGTGTGTGTGTGTGTAGGGTGGTGGTGGTGAAGAATCATTTATCTTCCCAAAGAGCCCTGATGGCGTAGTAAGTGACGCATTGGGCTACCAACCACAAGGTCAGCAGTTCGAACCCACCTGTCTCTCCACAGGAGAAAGATGAGGCTGTTTACTTCTATAAAGACGTCCAGTCTAGGAAACCCAAAGGAGCCGTTGACTCTGTCCTTTGGGTTGCTGTGAGTCAGTCTAAACTTGATGATAGGTTTATTTTATCTTCTCAATTCAGAAATCACATTACAGACTTGCCGTCACTAAATCTTTAGATTCAAATTTATTTACTGAACATCTAAAGTGACTTTAAAATGTAAGTGGCAGGGACATTCCTGATGAACAAATGGGGGATTCTCTTGATTAGATGCCCGGATACTCTGGTTCCAGCCACTTTGTCCACTCCTGATATGGAGTCCTGATGTGGCGCTGTAGGATAAGCACAGGATTGCTAACCTCTAGACACTGTGTCCCTCTCCTAACCTCCACTCCTCTCCTCACACTTGGCAGGCTTAATTGCTGCATCCTGTAGCCTACACAGCATTCTGCTGCTTCTCTTCCACAAAATTATTCCCCTGGTCTTTTCAATCCTGCTACAGGGCTCTGAAGGATCTCTGGTAGCGTAGTGGTTACGAATCGGGCTGCGAACCTCATGGTCAGCAGTTCAAAACTACCAGCTGTTCTGTGGGAGAAACATGAGGCTTTCTGCTCCTGTAAAGATTTACAGCCTTGGAAATCCTGTACAGGGTCGTTGTGGGTCGGAACCGACTCCATGGCACATAACAACAACAACAACAACAGGCTCTGAAAGAGCCCTGGTAGCAAAGTGGGTTACAAATGGGGTTGCTAACCACAAGGTCAGTAGTTCGAATCTACCAGCTGCTCCACTGGAGCGAAAGATGAGGCTTTCTGCTCCCATAAAGATTTACAGCCTTGGGAGCCCTATACGGGTCTTCATGAGTTGGAACTGACTCCGTGGCCCACAACCACCATAGCAAGACCCCGAAGGAGCCCTGGTACCGTAGTGGGTTACGAGCTGGGCCTTGTGGTGACGGTGGAGCTACCAGCCGCTCTGAGAGAAAGATGAGACTTTCTGCTCCTATAAAGATTTATAGCCTTGGAAACCTGAGACAGGGTGGTTATGTGTCAAAATCAACTCCATGACCCACAACCACCACCATCATAGGACCTAGGTTCAGCGTTTTGCACCCAGTTGATACATAGTGAAATCCTAGTGTGGTGTTGTGGGATAATGCACTGGACTGCAAGGTCAGTTTGAACCGCATATTCAGTGGTTCAAATGCACCAGCCGTTCCTTGGAAACCCTCTACAAGGTGGCTATGAGTCGGTGTTGACTCCACAGCACTTAACAACAACAACAGCAGCAAGACACACAGCAAATTTTACAAATCAATGAATGAATCTAAAAACATATTTGGGAAGAAATATATACTTCAGACATATTGTCAGGGGGGACCAGTTGCTGGAGAAGGATATCATGTTTGGTAAGGTGGAGGGTCAGAGAAAAAGAGGAAGACCCCCAACGAGATGGATTGGCAAAGTGGCAGCATCGATAGACTCAAGTGTGGCAATAGTAGTGAGGTTGGCTCAGGATCAGGCAGTGTTTCATTCTGCTGTGCATAAGGTTGCTATGGGTCGGTACCGACTCGATGGCACCTAACAACAACAACAATATATACAAATATTTATGTCAGAGGAAAAAACAACCCAACAGACCCTTATAAAAGCATCTGAAGTGGTCAAGCATTTCCATAATTAAATCATTAATTGATTCAAGAAAAAGAATTTTTTTGCATTGACTATATCAGAAGAAAATGGCTCTAATACTCCAAATGTCTGTGAATGTGAAGCAAGAACTTTAAGTTATTTCGATCTTTCTCATTTTAGAATATACACTATAACTGTTTCACTATAGCATCATCTTCAAAACCTTAGGCTCTTTGGAATAAATTGAGTTAAATTCTAACTTAATAGAAGTTCAAATATAGCACCTGTGAATCCAAGAATCTGAAATGAGCTTGAAGGCTTGGCATTGATAAGAAAGATGTGCCCTTCTGCTGTTCCAACAAACAGATACATTCCTCGCTGGTCATAACTAGAAAAGAAGAAATCTCATGATCAGATTCTACTTGCTTCAATAATAAGATGATAAACAAGTTGAACAGTCACATAGAGACATATTCAAAGCCAATTTTTCTATGGTTTATGAAGTTTGATATGATCTGACCTTATAAAAGCCAAGTGATTACACATAAATGCAATCATTACTCTCTAGGCCAATGTTATCTCCAAACTGCAACTAGTAAACACACAGAAGGAAGGCTCAGTAAAGATGGGCAACTGTTTGAAATAAGTGAATAAATATGCCAGTACAGCTTTCTTGATGTAGCAAGTGGAAATAAGCAATTCTAGAATTAGCAATGACCATGACGTTCAGCATCCCATGTCTTATACCTGGCAGGAGGAGGAAGAATGTAAAGAAACTTCATCAAATTGGAAAGAAATGGCACAAGAATGCATCATACAGAAGACCACTATAGAATGGAGGGAGGTAGCACTTAGATCCCAGAGCTTGGTGACAACAGCAGCCAGGCAAAAACTCAGCTCTTCCATGCTAGCTGTGAAATCGGAGCCTTTAGCACCTCCTTTTAATTCTCCTACGACCTGACAGGGGTGAGCCTAATATCTGTCTGATGGGGGCTGATAGATCACATTTAATAAGCTACCACGTGTGAGAACAAGTCAAGCTGTAGAGCAAACCACAGATGTCGGTTCTTATGAAAACGAGCTGGTGTTAAGTGCCATCAAGTTGGCTTCAACTCATATCGACCCTGTATAGGGTTTCCAAAGAGCAGCTGGTGGTTTTGAACTACTGGCCTTGTGTTAGCTTATTCTATAGCACCACTGTTTGTTCTACAGCAACACACACACACACAGCATAACATGCTTATTTTTAATGAGGCAGAGCACCTGCTTGATTTGCATAACACTATGGTGTCTTTTTTTGTGTGTGAACAGAGTATCTTATTTGTGAATAGAGTATCTCTGGAAGGAGTCATGAGACATTGGTGACAAGCTGTCTCCAAGGAGGAGAACTGAGAGGGGTGGGCTACGTTTCACCCTTCTGGACTTTTTGAATGTAGTGATTATGACTTCACTGGAATTCTCAACAGACAGCCTACAGGTCAGGCGCAGCAGTACTTACACAACATCCTGAACAGAAGCCTCGGAGAGAAAGGCCCGGTGCACTTCCTGAGGGGATTTGGCATTAGAGACATCCAGGAAGCAGACTGCGCCACCCACGGTCCCCACGGCAGCAGAGAGTGAGGAGGGAGAGCAAGCCAGAACGGTCGACTGTTAAAAATAAATCCCCAAACACTTAGAATGTACCAGAAAACGAGGCCTGCTCATTCCCTCCACCCACAAAAGAATCCTGAAATATATTTGAAAAGCTTTCAGAATGAGAAGAGTGGCCAAGGGTTGTATGGTATTAGAAAATGATAAAACTCAATAATCCTGCACTAATCAATGGCAAAAGAAATCACAGAAATCTATGCATTTCTTTTATCCTAGAATTGGAGTAATAAAAAATATAAAGAGATTAATAATAGCAGAGACTAGGTGCAGGGAAGAGGTAGATATTTAGGACCTCTCTGTACTCCATAATTTTCTGTAAAACTCAAACATTTCTAAAAAAAATAAAGTCTATAACAAAAATGAATTTTCAAACAGGATGGAGGGTGGATAAAAGTTGAAGGTTGGATTCAAGATGGGTGGTGGAGACAACATGGAGGGTGGGCACAAGATGAAGGATGGAGACTAGATGGAGGATAGAAACAAGATGGAGAATGGAACATGGAGACAAGATAGACGATGGAGACACCATGGAAGGCTGATACAGGATATTAGGTGGGCACAAGAAGGAGGGTGGAAACAAGTTGGCAGGTGGGTACAAAACACAGAATGGGGAAAACATGGAAGGTGGATACAGCATGAAAGGTAGGAACGAGATGGAGACAAAGTGGTGGTGATGGTAGTTATGCACTGTGGAGGCGGTCCTGACTCAGAATCATCCTGAATAGGGTTTCCGAGGCTGTAAATCTTTACAGGAGCAGAGAGCCTCATCTTTCTTCCTTGGAGTAATTGGTAGATTTGAACTGCTGACCTTGCAGTTAGCAGTCCAACTCATAACCCCACTAAGGGCTCCATGGAGACATAACAATATTGCTTAAATTAAAAAAAAAAAAAAAAGAGTTAACAAAATGAACATCAATAAATAGGACTTGAATATAAACATAGTAAAAAGGCAGATCTCAAAGTAAACACTTCAACATATTAACAAATGAAATATAAAGCTATGCTTCAAAATACACATACAGATTTTTCCAACTTTAAGCCATGATTTAATTTATTCCTAAATGATCATGAAATGGTTATTTCTAAATGACTGAAATTACTATGCTAATAACAAGAATGGCAAAAATATAAAGTATTAAAAGCAAATTCTTAGCCTCATTTGGACATTTAAAAAGTGTGAGTGACTTTTAAAGTTGGCATCCCTCGACTGAATAATGGTGGATCCAGGAATGCTGGCTTGACTGAGGAAGACTTTAAAAATTACTGTATCACTGGACCACGTATTTGGTCACCAAAACCAAATAACAAATTCCTACTTATCTCACAATTATTAATATAAAACATGGGACCTAAGAGAAACATTTACTCTCGTGAGTATCAAGCTCATTTCTCTATAATTATTATCCTTTGTAAGTTGTTCTGAATAAGATCATGGAATGCTGGAACTAGCAGACAACTTAATAGAAGACAGAACGGAGGCCAAGGCAAGTTCAGTGCCTTATCCCAGGATCCCAGAGCTGGTGAGAAGGTTCTGGTGAGAGTTCAGGTGCTCTGGATCTCACTACAAATTACATGGTTTCCTAATCAAATGGGCTGTTGTTTTTAAAGGTGATTTTTTTCAAGGCTTGATCAGATTGTGCCTCAGTATGAAACTGGAAACGAGATGGTGGGTTTTTAAAGTTGAAAGCCTCTTGATGTATTGTTTTTTCTTTCCATTGAATTTCTCCTCCATTGCAGGGCAATAATGGGTTAGTCTGTAAGGTACAGCAATACCTGGAGTGGTCGGAAACACGTCCACAGGAGCTATCAAGGGAAACAACTCCTTTGCAGGCAGCCTGCTGGACCGGTTCCCAGAGGTCCACGGCCACAAAGTATGCAAGGGGAATTTAGTCCAGGGCACAGGCAAGGAGGTTTGGCCTCAGCTTGCTGGGCCAGTCCACTAATTGCGTCCCTGTAGAGTAACAGTCTTGGTATAGCATTGTAGGATAAGCACTGGACGGCAAGGTCCATTTGAACTGCAAGGTCAGCGGTTCAAATCCACAAACCACTCCTTGGAAACCCAATACAGGACCACTATGAATTGGAACTGACTCCGCAGCACTAAACAACAACAAGGACAGCAGTATTCTCTGGCCAGGGAAAACCTCCGTCTTTTCCCAGTATGGATCGAAACTCATGAGTGTACCATCATGCCTAATTTGGAGCTCAAGAAAAGTTCACTGAATTGTCAAAGTGGTCAATACTGCACCCCTCTGGTCAGGTGAAGGGGAGATGTCTGAAGCAGAAAGTAGGCCTTGTGATGGTATGGTGCCTATGACCAAGGGAAACGTGATAAGTCGTGATTATATAGGGCCCGGGTGAGTTGTTAGACATTTCTGGGCTAATACCTCTCATTTCTAAAGGGAGATGTGGTTAGAGGAACTTTAAGATCTCTTCTAGTTCTAGTAATTTGAATAGACGTGAGTACATGTAAGCAGTCATCACACAGATTTTGGAGTCTTTTCATAGTTCACAGTAAATAGGTAAGAAATTTTATCTTTGCTTTTTGGGATGAATTTTATTTCTCCCCTTGAATACTTTTTGTATCTGTGATCCTCTTACCTAAGCTATGATGCTTAGTCTTGCATGGTATAATAACTTTTAGGGAGCTCTGGTAGCGTAGTGGTTGCAAGTCGGGCTGTCAACCTCAAGGTCAGCATTTCAACACTACTAGCGGTTCCATGGGAGAAAGATGAGGTGTTCTGCTCCCATAAAGATTTACAGTTTTGGAAACCCTGTGCAGGGTCACTATGAGTCAGACCTGACTCCACGGTACTTAACAACACCAACAACCAAGATCCACAAAGTCCTGGTGTGGCGCCGTAGGGTAAGAACTGGACCTCAAGGCTAGTTTGAGGCACAAAGTTGGTGGTTCAAATGCACCGGCTGGTCCTCAGAAACGCTATACAGGGTCAGTGTGAGTTAGAACCGACTCAACAGCACATAACAAAAACAACTATGATCCAAATCTCACCTAGAACCGTGAAATGAAGCAAATGAAAATAATGTTTTATATGAAAAGTAACATTACTAATATTTCTTGGCCCCTGTACATTTTTAATATTTCTTTGAAGTATAATACCCACCACCTATCAGTTGTCATATTCTGGTGATTTATGTGTTAATCTAATGCTGGAAGTTGCACCAATCATATTTCAAATATCAGCACGGTCACCCACAGTGGATAAGTCTCAGCAGAGCTTCCAAAGACAAACTAGGAAGATAGGCCTGCTGATGTACTTTCAAAAATTAGCCATTGGAAATGTTCTGGATACCAACTTGTCAGCTTTGGACATGGCATCAGGAAAAATGAACCACTTGAGGAAGACGTCAAAGGGTGAACGTGACCACAGTAGCCACAAGGATGAACTCAAACATACCAGAAACTAGGAAGGTGACACAGGACCAGGAAACATTGTATTCTGCTGTGCATAAGGTTCCCATGAGTTGACGTCAACTCAGTAGTAACTAACAATGTAAAATGCCATGTGGACGTTGCAGAAACAGTGGCATCACATTGAGACACGTGCTATGGGCAGTTGTGGTTGGTCACCTAGCATCATTTGACCCGCTTCTAGGAATCTCTTGCTATTTCCTAGAAATAGCGAATTTCCTATGCTCTGAGATAATATCCTTCTCTATTTTCATGGTTGAATGGAATACATCTAATGCCCATTCACAGAGATGAGCTAAGCCAATTACATTTCTCATCTCTTTGCTGGTAGTGCTTAGTTCAGGGATGTTACTGAAGTATTAGAAGATGCATTAGACCTTATGGAAAGTGCAAGCTGCTTGTCGTTTCATCTTCCGGTTGCAGGAGGCTTTCTTCCCCTGGCAACGTGCTGTGAGTCTAGCACCTGCGGCCACCTGGTCATCACTGTTGATGCTGTTGTTAAAAGAGTCATCGATTTGTTTCTGACTCAGAGTGACCCAGTATAGGATTTCCATGGAGTGGCTGGAGAGTTTGAACCTCAGACCTTGTGGTTCATGCCGACCTTGTGGTCAAGTGTTTATCCTACAGTGCCATAGCAGGACTCCTGGGTATCACCAAATGAAGTAATTATCTAAATTCCTCCCTGTGTTTCCTGTTTCTATTTCTTTATTTCATAGCCCTTCTGAACTTGGTCTCTGGGTAAATGCTGCCCTTTTGATCCCAAAGGACTGAATGAAACACAACAGAAATTCTTCAGCACTGTATATCCTCCCTAGTACTGTTCACCTCATAGGCCTGTTTATCAGAGTCCAGGTGTAGCACTGTAGAATAAGCCCTGGACTGCTAACCACAAGGTTGGCAGTTCAAACCCACTATGCAGGGTCACTATGAGTGGGAACAGATTCAGCAGTACTTAACAACAACAACAAAGATGAAACCAAAGGCAGAGCATAGAGACAGAAAGACATGTTGCTTGGTAAAATGATTTGGGCTGATGGATTGAGCCACATCTGAGTTCTACACATTATAGCTATGACCAATGAGATGTGTCACTTCTGAGCTGACTCGTTTAATTGCTGATCCAAGACCTTCCATCACTCTTTCCAGACCCTGGCACTGAGGAAGTCATGGGTTCTGGATAGTGCAGCGGTAAGCTGGCAGAGTAACCATCCACCTGGCTCCTGAGAGACTGCAGAGAGCCGAAGCCCCACACCAAACAACAGTGAATTTACAGCTTGACTGAGAGATAAGACACTGGGGGTTCAGAGTTAACTGCTGCCATAGAAAAACGTATCCTTTCTTATCCACCAAGATAGTATGCTATATATGCCCTGCCCTCTAGGCTGTGGGATATACTTTATACACAGGAATTAGTTTAAATTGTAAGGTAAAAATGCAATGCAATTTCTGTAACAACTATTTCCATA